TAAAAGGTTATTCAACATACCGAAAATAAAAGCCTCGTAGGTGCTCTGAATAGTAAGTGAAATCTATTGTTGAGGTGAGGGAAGTAACACGAACAGGAAATGAATCCTCACCCATTTTGGGATGGATTCTAGTTGGGGCTGTTCAGGAGTGAGATACGGGAGTCGCTCTGAGGGGTTCATTGGTAACTTGCACTCGGTTCTTATCACCAGTCAAAATGGTCAGCAGGGAAATAGGAAGGGCTAAAGGGAAAAAGGAGGGAAAATAGGTATGCAATAAATGACGGTTTGCAAGGGATGCTCTGCCAGAGTGGGAGCTGATGATGCTTCGGGCCTCAGTCAAGAGAAGCTGCAGGGTGGAGCTTTGTGCCTTTGCTACTGCCTTTATTTGGGAGGTAAAATGATGAAAAGCCACAGGAGCAGCAGCAAGGGGGTAGGGTCAGTCTTCAAGAGCGGGGTCAGCCAAACATGAACACCCAAATCGTAGGCCAAATACCCCAATAAAATCCCTGGTAATGGCGAGGAAGTTGCGTACATGCAAGTAGTGCTGAGGAAAAGAAGCACCTGCATGACTCAGAGGGGTATGTTGCCATCTCACAGAGACGTTAGACACTTCACCTGGGTGGTCAATGGTTAATTTTCCCACAGGAAGGTTTGGGTTGTTTTCGACTGGATACCTTGTTTACCTGTAGGCCGCCTTGTAGGCCGCCCTGCATTTTCAGGCTTTTGTGTACCAAATCTGCAAGGAAGAGCAAATGGGATGCACTCGATGGATATGTAATGTCTCCTGGACAAGGTGGAAAGACTTAGTTTGATGGAGTGCTGACCAAGTGGCCGTCTGTGGCGCTGGCCGCGCTCCGTGGCCGCGCTCTCGGCTTGGCCGCGCTGTGCTGTCCGCGCGTCCCGGCCACGCGGCGGTGACGAGCAGGGCTCGCTCCCTGCGGCGGCGCGCGGGGCTGCCCCGCTCTGCCGTGCCGGGTGTTCTCGGGGTGCGAGCCCTGCTGCGCTCGGTGCTTCCCCGGGCAGCGAGCCGGGCCTGGCGCCTCTCCCGAATTGCAGATCAAAGGCTGAAATCCAGGACCCAAATGCCCCGTGACGCTTCCCAGGCCGTGTTGTGATCCCAGACACAACTCCTCCATATACAACTTGTGTGGAAGTGCGGTATAACCATGACCCTTGTCCATATTTCACCGTAAATATAACCCTGCCGTTCAAGTTCTAGGTTACAAAGCTTTAACACTTGCCTTATGACGAACTGTTTGCTGCTGTTTTCCACCACGTGTGCTTCGTCCTGGCACCAGCTGGGGGAAGACTCTCGAGGAGGAGGTCTGTGGTCCAAGAAATCAGGGGCGGTGGACGTGCTCTGACCTGGAGCCATTTTTGCTTTGCTTTTCAAGATGTACATGAGACAGCCTCATCTTTGACACGTGGACTGTAGTTCATGGTGGGAGCAGTTGTGTTTCGGTGCATCCCACCAAAGGGCTGTGCCCTTGTTGCCACCTCCAGCACTAGGAGGGGATTCTATTAACCTTGAGCCTGATGCTGCTGCCTCTAGGTAAGTCTTATCTTTCAGTCAGGAACCAACGGGAGATGGGGAGGCCTCACACACCACGGGCTCCCGTGGGATGCCTGGGGCCACTGGTTTTCGCTGTCACTCTGCTCCAGGCCACAAAGCTCTTGGGACACCCCCGGCCACCTCTAGTGCATCTGCTCCAACATCTGGCTCTCCGCTTCCCCGGGAGCTCCCGGTATCACGAGCAGGTATCAGATTCAGCACCAGAGTTTTCRTTTTCAGCTCAAGTTTCCTGTATTTCTATTAAATGGCAAGCTCTAATACAGCAGAGCTGTGGATCAATTTGTAACCAGCTCCATTGTAATTTGTAATTGCTTATTTCTAACTCAAAAACCACTGCTAATTGTACAGCAGGGGGAACCTGATATTAATATGCATGTTCTGCAAATATAGGACATTYTATCATAGTCTATGGAGCACGCACAGAGCCAATTAGTCTCCTGATAATATATTCAGTAAATAAATATATTCAGTATCTGCCTTCTTATCTTGCCTAGAGATAAGCTATCTTGCAGACGATACCTGGAAACAGATAGTGCACATGTGCATAAYTTGCAGGCTCCACTTGGGGCACTCACACTGAAGGTCTCTTGTTTCACTTTGCCTGATCCCGCTGCCGCTCTCTGGCACCAGGATACAGAGCCTATGGAGAGCCCCTGCTGCATTACCAGCCCTGGACCGAACCCGTGTCCCRGGGTGAAGCCTTTCCCTGCCCTGCAGCTGTGTCCTGGAGGGCTGCACGTCCCCAAACACTCGCTTGTGGAGAGCAACGCACCTGTACCAAGGGTTGTCTAGGTTGTAACTGGTTGTTTTGTACTCAGATGAGCACTGGGAGGTACTTACCAAGCACAAAGAGCAAGTGCAGTATTCGAGGGTTTGAAAGATGCCCGCACTCAGAAACGAGGTAATACCTGTCTTGACCTAGTGTGTGTTACCAGCTTTAAAAGTCTGTGTGGTTCAGCTGGGAAGCTGCTTGATGTTTCAAAATCTAGACGGGAATTCTCACCATTTACACCCATTACATCTAGGGAGCGCCTGGTCAGAAGGGAGGCTTGTGCTGGAGACATAAAAAAAATATATATATACTTATTTTTATATGTATATATGTATATATGTATATATTTTTATATGTATACATATGTGTATATATTTTTAATGCTAGAGGAGCCTCTGGAGTTTATTCAAGTTACACATTCCTCCTTTCTCCAGGAAGGTATTTCAAATGTCCTCTTACTACTACACAAATGGGATCATCCCTTGGGAAGAGCCAGGTGTGAGCTTACATGTGAGCTCGTCTAAAGACAGCTAATGAGCTTTCCTGTGCCTGGCAAACTAATGAAGAAATGGATAATGATGGTGATGGAACTCGCTGTCTTCCCAGGTGCCACMCCAGGAGGAAAGAGCACTTCAGGTATCAGGTCCTCTCCTTCACGCCAGGATGTAAATGGAGAGCTCCATTTTGAATGCACTGCTGGTCCTTTGCTCTCAACTCGCACTGCGAGTAAGGGCAGCCGGCTACGYGGGGTAGGGAGGCGCCTGGCTGATCTGGGGCCCGGGCTCTGCTAGGCCRGGCCTGGGCAGCGGCACCGGGGCTGGCGGCCGCTCCGCGCATGGCGGCCGGCACCGCCCRGCGCTGCGGCCTAGGGCTGGCGTCCCGCTGACTTCGGGCACAAGGAGAGGGAAACAAATACGTTCCTTCGGCTGTGGCCTGGATCTGAGTCCCCTCTTTGCTCTTTTTCCTTCGCCCTGTGTCTTCAGTGGCCTCCTGACGCTCATGCTCTGGATGGGACGTGAGGAGCTTTGGGGCTTTCCTGGTTTTTGGTCACCCTTTAACTCAGCTCTTATGAGGACCAGCTGCAGCAAACCTGCTGAGCGCGTTTGGGGCAGGTACAGCGGGGACATAGGCTTGGGCAGGGGGGAGAGGCGCTGGCCCATCTCCTTGGGTGCCCTGGCCTCGCTCTGCAACGAGCTGGATGCAGAGAGCACCTTGTGTGACAGAGCTCTGGAACAGGCCGCCCGGGAAGGCTGTGGAGTCTCCTTCTCTGGAGGTCTYCAAACCCGCCTGGCTGCCGCCCTGTGCCCCGTGCTCTGGGTGTCCCTGCTGGAGCAGGGGGTTGGACTGGATGACCTCTAAAGGTCCCTTCCAACCTCARCCATYCTRTGRTTCTGWGATCGCCTCCRCTGCRATGGAGAACAGCAGCCAGCTTGCCAAAGGCCGGGTTTGTGTGCAAACACTGACACTTGTAAATGCCCAGTCCCAGGCKGGCAGGTGCAGGCAGGGCTTGGGCTAGGCTGTCTCCAGGGTTCCTTTCCAAACCAGGCTCCTGGAGTTTGCTTTTCTCCCAACTGCATTTCCTTCAGGTTCACATATTGTCCCTCAGACTCCTCTTTACCCCTCTGCTGTCCCCAGCAACTGCTCATTGTAACAACCTCCTTGTGAGAGCTGGAGACAGACGGAGGGGTAAAGGGGTTGAAGAAAGGGATTCTCTTAACTGCACTTAGAGCAGTCAGGTATGGTACATCACCAAGCCAGGGGCAGGCGTGTTTTGTTCCAAGGCTACCTCATCCATTTTGAGAGGATTTAAGTGGGAAACTCACACCATGCCACGTGTGAGCTGCAGGAAAGGGCAGTTCTTCATGTGATATTGCTGCACAGCACCAAGGTGTACCCCAAAATAGTCCTTGCTTACACCGGGCAGGGCGAGGTGCAGGTGGTGAATCCTGTTGTATTCTGCAGCACTTGGAACGTCAGACCTCACATTTGCTCATTAAGTGCTYGGGTAGCACTGACCTTCTCTCCTGTACTCAAGACATATTTGACTGTAGTGACACATTAAGACCTCATACCTACACTTACATAATGCTAGATTCTCTATTCAAGCAGCAATGCTATGATGTGGTATTAATATTTGCCCCAAAGATGATTTAATCTGTACTGGGGCCACAGCTGCAGTACTTTGTGATAGAAATGGAAATAGGGTTGGTCAGGCACATGCCAGGACAGGAAGGGATCTGATCTGATGGCTGCTTCCCCTATTAGAGTATTTGACTGCAAGATGAAAATAGAAAAATCTAAATACATTTATAATTTTCATCACATTTTTTGTTAAACTCTTAAAACTCTTTAAAACTCTTTATACTAATAAAAACTCTTTATACTAATAAATCTCTTCATACTAATAAATATTTATTTCTAAACAACCTTGACAGCATGCCTTTGAAGAGTGCATCATGACATTCCAGCTATGGGGGTTTAATTCTTCCTCTGTCCCTTCACAAGAATTTTCTCTTTGACATTTGTATTACAGATCCAGACACTTGTTTCATTCCCAGCAATGGTTCTCTTAAAAGGAAAACTGATAATTTTGAATCATAATTCTGGCAAACAGAGACCTTTACCTCCAGTTTAAACATTTATTTGTGATACAAAAGTCAAAATTTTCACAAATAGTTATTCAGAACAACAACAGAAAACTCTAAATGATTTATACACAAACAATTACATACAGCATTTATAATATGCAGTACAAAATGTACAGTGTTTGGATGAGCTAGAAATTGCGTAAGATGCCAAGATTTAAACAACTGTTAATTATTCATAGTAGTTGCATTTCATACAGACAGTTGTAGATATTGCCTCAAAACAGAGAAGATTCAGTTCTGAAGAGCAGTGTTTGTGTCACCTTCAGTCCCCACTTCCCTGATTYGGGCTTGGAGGAGGACCTGGCCCTCTTCTGTGATCACAGAACAGTTCTGAACTCATCAAAAATGAAACTAGGCACGTGTGCTTCGACAACCTAGAGAAAACAGAAAGTCACAATCACATAGTTTATGCAGTGTTCATTTGTAGGCTGCATTCATCCATCAACACAACACCTGCCACCTCTCAAGACACCTCACTGCTRWCAGGAATCCYAGAATGGTTGAGGTTGGAAGGGACCTCTAGGGATCATCCAGTCCAACCCCCTGCTCCAGCAGGGACACCCAGAGCACGRGGYACAGGGYGGCATCCAGRTGGGTTTGGAAGATCCCCAGAGWAGGAGACTCCACAGCCTCCMTGGGCARCCTGTTCCAGGGCTCTGTCACCCTCACAGGAAAGAAGTTCTTCCTCATATGGAGATGGAACTGCCTGYGTTTCAACTTCCCCCATTGTCTCTTGTCCTGTCACTGGCCACTACYRAGAAGAGCTTGGCCCCTTCCTCCCTWCATGCTCCCCTCAGGTACTTATACATATTGWTCAGATCTCCTCTCAGTCTTCTCTAGGCTGAACAGGCCCAATTCACTCAGTCTCTCATTATATGAGAGATGCTCTARTCCCTTAATCATCTTTGTYAYTYTTTGCTGGACCCTCTCTAGAAGCTCCACGTCCCTCTTGTCCAGGGGAGCCCAGAACTGCCCCAATACTCCAGGAGCGGCCTCACCAGAGCTGAGGAGAGGGGCAGGATCTCCTCCCTTGACCTGCTGGCAACACTCCTCCTGATGCAGGCCAGGATCCCATTGGCCTTCTTGGCCACGAGGGCACACTGCTCACTCATGGTTAACTTGGTGTCAACCAGGACTCCCAGGTCCTTTTCCGTGGAGCTGCTTTCCAGCAGGTCAACCCCTAATCTGTACTGGTGCCCCAGGAATAGCCAGGGGTTATTCCTCCYCAGGTGYAGGACCCTGCACTTGTCCTTTTGAACCTCATGAGGTTCTTCTCTGCCCAAYTCTCCAGCCTGTCCAGGTCCCTCTGGATGGCAGCACAGCCYTCYRGAGTGTCGGCCACTCCACCCAGCTTGGTGTCATCTGCAAACTTGCTCAGGGTGCACTCACTGCCCTTGCCCAAGTCRTTGATCAATAGGTTGAACAACACTGGGCCCAGTACTGACCCCAGGGGGTCATTATTCAATTCTGCCATTATTTGTATTATTTAATTCTGTAGTAACTCAGAACTATTATTTTAGCTCATTCCCACCACAAAGCTTCTCACAAGGGACTTCTCTGAAGATGAAATGGGAACAGGCTGTTGCTTCATATCCATATGAAGCTGAAGTACYAGCAAAATTTATTTTCTGTAAGGATAATATGGCTGATATGCCAATATCTGCACGACGTATGTGAGTAACACACACTTTGCAGCTTGTGCAGGCAGGGGAATTCAGTAGGGTCTATTCAGAACAGGTGGCATTCTTCATCTCTCTCCTGGCAGCAGTATTTTACAGAACACCTGAGATGGGCGAATGCAGGTTTTTGGACATGGCTGAACCCGCCCATGGTTTGGACATTCATTTACAGATGATGCCAYGTCCCACAACAGACACATACTATAACTACTATATTCTATGGAATATAGTAATACACTGTGCAGACACATACTGTAACTACTGTATTCTACGTAACTACACCATAAGCTTAGGACCTCTGAAAAGGCTCCAGAGAGAAAAGAAAGTATTTTCAAGCCCAAAATAGCATCTATTATCAAGACGACCTGATTTCAGTCTCCTTTAGTGTTTAACCATGTAGGAAAATAAGATAAAAAAAAMCAAGCTTCCACATTGAGTAGTGGTTGGATTATCTAAAAAATAATAAACCAGACAAGCACAAGCTAGTATATACAAGTATTTTATCAGTAGCTTCAATATCAGCTAACATCAAGTAAGGAMGTATCCCAATTATTCTTAATTCTTTCTCAGACACTGTCACTGGATTTATGGATAAGCAAGTTCAGTGGGACTAGCACTGTGGGCTACACACAGAAACATGGAATTATTTCTTACCTTTCTTGGTAACTTTGTATAGCGAATATAGTCTTCCAGGAACATGAGGGCAGCCACCACATCAGCAGGCATCTCTGGTATCTTTTGACTAAATAAAATAAAATGGATAAAACTGTATGAAAATGCCTGAATTCCAGTTATACTTCAGTTAGGTACCATGTGATCCCATTACAAGAAGAAAAATATTTTTATCTTAGTCATTATGTCAAACATACTTTACTAGAACAACATGTTCAAGAAGGCAGTGATGGTTATCCTGAAACCCTGCCCAGAGGGAAAGGAACACGGGTACCTTGTGCACTGCTCCATYGCTGAGCGAATGAACTGGCCGATCAGAGCCAGAAACTGCTCTGTGTATCTGGAGTGAAACTGCTTCAAGAGGGTGAGGAGACCAAGGACCAAAGGAAGCCAGTCAATCTGATCAGCTGGCCGTTTGCACACCACGCCTGCACAGACAGAAAACAAAACCTACACATGTTGATCACAAAGAATATATCCTTTATCCTGGAGAAAAACGTAGCAGCTGCATTTCTGCCACTGTAAATATCACCAAGCTATCCAATGAGATGAGCTAAGATGAAATTATAAAGTCAAAAGTTGAGATTCTGTTTCCTATTCCACTGGAGGAGTCAGAAACTGAGAATCTTCTAGATAGTTGGTTTTAAATAGGTTTTCATAAGGTTTACAATGAGAGAACAATAAGCAACAACAACTTATACCATACCTAAGTTTTTGTTGTACTGAAGCTTGGGAAACTGGGAAATCAGAAACAGGAAGTTGACAGTGGGAAAATACGGGAGCCGTTTTGTTGTTATGTAGATCTGAGGAAGATAAAGAAGAGGAATACAGTTTTTCCACATATTAACTTCCCCCCATCCCCTCACTTAGTAATCTGTAAAAAAGCCAACAGATCAAGCAATAAGGTTAAGCCTAACCTTATTCAGTGGATTGTGAATGCCAGCTGCTTCCAAATAAGCCGTGATCTCATACAGAAGAGTGTTGTCTTCTTTAGGGTAAGGCAGTGATGGATTCTGATAATGTGCTTCAATGTCAGCTAGTATTGCTCTAAAGGAATACAAAYTAAGTGCTCATTTACCCTGTCCACAAATGAACCTGACACAATGCTGCACGTCATACTAATGTAAGAGTTTCACACACACACAATCTGTAGCTTTTTACAATCAAGAGGAAACCAACTTCTGGATTTTTTCTTTTATAAAGACCAGACCTTACTCGTTTCAAAATGAGCACCAAACAGGGTCACTGTTCTTATCTCTGACCCAGGCATGCTCTCAATTCCAGGAATAACCGAATGCAACTAGAAAGCTGCACTGCCCCCTAACATGTTCATTCAAATTACTAGCTAGTCAACTTATTTAACCCCAGGTTTTACTGGGCTCAGATTCTAGTAAGAATAATGTCAGACTCCACATTTTGCCCTAATTTAGATTTTAAAGACTGCTTAGCTGATAACAACAGTTAACATGGCATTGATGAGAGGTTGCTCTTTTTGCTTCTTACTTATTGAGATTTTCCAAAGCAGCAGCCAAGTGTTTGGAGTCAAACCTGCAGGAATAGTTCAATTCATTGGTAATCTGCCGTCTCAACAGCTGCATCTGACCAACCTGGTGAAACAAACCAGCAAAACAAGGGTGTTGCACTGGAGACAACAGGAGAACAGGAAAGTCAAACTCAGGAAAACTATTATAAATAACTACCATGTACAGTAATATAGATTATCTTAAATCCTCACTGCCTCTTAGAGCAGTTGTAGGGCTGCCTAACGTAAGTTGGCAACTTAGGTTGTCAACTGGACAACTCCTGTCAACTCCAGGACAACAACTGTCAACTCCTAAGTCATCTGGCGGTTGGCTCTGCTCTCTCATTTAGTTAGAGTGCTTTGATTTGGATTCAATTAGAACTGAGTGACCTGTGCAAGCAAAGGAGAGGGGCAGTCAAAGGAGAGGCCCAGGTTTCACTCACAGTCAAATCCAAGCATCGTGAAAAGGACACTAAAGTAGTAACAGGTATAAAATCCCAGAGCAAACAGTTTGTTGCAGCTCATTAAGTACTTCAGAAATAAAGATTTTTAGACACCTACAAAGATCAGTCACTGAACTACAACAAGCCTTTCCCACTGAGATAGGAACGCTTCGTTATTTTACTCAAAAAAAAATCACCAAAATAGTTTATATCTAGAAAGTTTTGGTGCACAGGGAACAATAAAGCCCACTCTTGTTCAAGGTACCAAAAAGTCAATTATTACACAACTGGCAAAGATTCTCATTTCAAATTCTTCAGAAAAATACTAGTATAATTTGGAAACACTAACTCAAAAGGAAAGAGTCACTTAAAAGATACAACCTATGTCAGAGAAGCTGTGCTTTCACAGTCAGGTCTTTAAGGGACTGTGCAGTCCCTGTGCAGTTTTATCTCTTAAAAATTTAATCCTTTAAGGGATTAAAAAAAACCCTCAAACAAAAACTGCCTTACGATTTTCTAAAATTACAAGAGGTAAAGAAGTGTTTAAAAGCACTTTTAAAATATTTAAAAGGAAAAGAACCATCTGCAGCTTGGCACGGACTAAAGCTTCAGTAGATATGAAACTGCTATTTGTATGGATTTTCACTACCTATACATTTGGGTAAATGATTGGTACATATACACATTCATAAATCGTGATGTTGTAGGCTGGGGAGGGAGATGGGGAGGAACAGGGAGAAGGAAGGGGACAGGAACTCTTTGGAAAATGCAGCTTTTTGCTTGTCTGTTTTTCACCTGTATGTAAAAATCCTCCTGTCCTCTTCCCTCCCTCCAGACCTTAGGGTGGGCAGTGGCAGGAAGCAGCAAYGACAGGAGATCCCAGAGAGGTTTAGTGCACTCAACTTCCCCCTTCCTTTTCTAATCTTGCCCTCTTCAATAATACACAGCCCTCCACAGCATTTTGAAAAATGTTAGTTATGAAAAACCATTTGACATTTAGGTGGTTASAAAGGTTGGGGAGGATGAACAGACRTGTTCATGGGACAGGTTGGTCAAACATTTGATTTYTTAGACTGACTTRTGTGTGATCAAGGCAAATTCAGCACATGCTGAGCACTAGTTCAGCCTACAMAGAAAGCCCAAGCAATAAAGCTTTACCTCAGTTTAGGAAAGCTATAGGATTTAACTTATTGGCCCTACTGCTAAGCACTTCGTGCATTTTAATCTGGATTAAGGGCCATCTACACAAAGAAAGTCTGGGAGCTCTCACATATCCAGCCATGCTTGATTTTTAATGTTACAGAATTCCACATCAAAAGAACAGATAACTGTAAAATTCACAGATAAAGATCCTGGAGGGGACTCTGTGCATCGCTGAGTCATATCAACATACCTTCATTATGGAGTCTAAATAGGCTGTCCACACCTTCTGAGTTTTTGCAATTGCTGTAGAATAAACTTTGTTTGAATTTGCTGCAAAAAGAAGGACAAGAAGTTTAGAAAAAAGGAAAGTAAAAAGAAAAAAAGTGAGAAATAAACAAATGTAAGTGCACTAAGATGACAGATGCATCTTAAACAGAAGGCACTTACCTATAATTCCTTTGAGAGGACTGACAGCATTCATAAGGGCTTTTAAGGTATCCTGTACTGTCCTGTCTCGTAATATATTTTTCTGAAACATGCTGAGGAAATTCTAAATAAAAGAAAGAAATAATAAATTCTCACACATGGCTATAAKGCCATCAAGATTAATCAAAGCATGTATGTGTTCAATGGCTTTTTGTTGTTGTTGTAAGAGAAGGAATATTTCCATAGTTGCAGAGCTGTTAAACTTTCTGTTTTTCCGCAGTATGAGACCTGCAGATCCACCTCCTCATCAATACATTAAACCCCTGTAGCCAACTGTTTCTTCAATTATTTAAAGAAAAAAACAGTAAATAATCTTAAGTAATCTTTAAGTAATCTTAATCAATACYAACATTATTGCTTTTTATATTTCTAACTGGAATAGGATGTATTCAGACTGCTTTATATTTAAGAAAATCAAGAAGTTGTTGTAAGTAGAGGTGTTACGTATCATTGCAGACAATCYCCTTGCCCAAGCAAAACAAGAAAAATATCAAGTCTTTGGACATATCTAGATAGGAGGTCAGTAAACAACTTCCAGAAAACATACAGTTGAGATGATTAAGGGACTGGAGCACTTATGCTATGAGGAAAGACTAAGTGAGCTGGGCCTGTTTAGCCTGGAGAAGAGTGAGAGGGGATCTGATCAACATGTACAAATACCTGAAGGGAGAAGGTCAAGAGGAGGGGGCCAAACTGTTCTCGGTGGTGGCCAGTGACAGGACAAGGGGCAGTGGGTGGAAGTTGAAACACAGGCAGTTCCATCTCCATGTGAGGAGGAGGAACTTCTTTCCTGTGAGGGTGACAGAGCCCTGGAACAGGCTGCCCAGAGCAGTTGTGGAGTCTCCTTCTCTGGGGATCTTCCAAACCCGCCTGGATGCCGCCCTGTGCCCCGTGCTCTGGGTGTCCCTGCTGGAGCAGGGGGCTGGACTAGATGATCCCTAGAGGTCCCTTCCAACCTCAGCCATTCTGCATGAAAGGCATTCTTTATGAACTGTATTTAATGTTAATATGTAACTTATGGTGGTTAGCACCATTTATACCAGATTAACAACTTTAGTTATATCTGTAGCTGGTATTTTACTTCTGATCTCAAATTCATTTTTTTCTAAAGCCTTGGCTTTATAAGATTATTATTAAAAAGCCTACCAACCACAACACAATACTTAGCTCCACCTGCCAGTTCAAAAGTTAACAGAACTTAAATTCCACTGGAACAAGTTACTAAGCAATAAAAGTGAAGAAAAGGAAGCCCAGAGATTACCTGCAGCTCCTTCACAATCATGAAACAGAGCAGCCTGTCTAGACCATTGAGACCAAAGGTACCTAAAGTATCTTGGATCTCTGAGAAGAGACGACTACTGGTGACCTCCTGATGAGTTTTGGTATCATACCAGGTGTTCATTTGGTCAATGTAACATGTAAATCTAAAGAAAAGATAAACAGATTTATTTATTTTAGAATGGGCTGCAGACTGTTTCTGTGATTATCAAAGAAATGAGTTAATTTACTCTGAAAGACAACAGAAAGACTCTGTAAAGACACTCCATTTTCTGCAAGGCTTCTATCCCTCTCCCCTGGTTCATCTCTCACTCTGTCTGTGTTATGCATTGCTTTGCTTCCTAAACTAAAATTGCAAATTTCCAAACTAATACTTAAAATGCACAGGATTGTTTAAGTAAGTTTTATTTAAAGAAGGTAGCCTTTATATAACAGCCAAGGAAAAACTATTTGTCTATAATCACTATATTTGCTTATTATACAGTGGAATTTGACCTATACAATGCATGGAGCTATAACACAGCTTGTGGCATATAGTACTTACTTTGGATCTGTGATCCTCAGGATTTCTCTACAAAGACGACCAATAAATGTCACAGATTCATCCACAGGTGTGAATTTTGGTATAGGAATGTGAGTAGACTGGTATATGCTTTGCCAGTCTTGAATCTGAAAAGTAAAACAGTAATTTGTAATGTTATGATTAGATGTATTTTTAATTTGTCTTAGAAATTCAATTTCTTTTCTTTGAAAGTAGTAAGTGCTATAGAACAATGCAGTGAATTGTATGCAGCAAAACACTATAAAAATAGAATAAAATATAAAGAATTAATTTTAAGATAGAGGACAAGCAGAATTTAAAGACAGCAATCTAAACTGCTGGTGAGAATTCCATTTGCTCCTTTCTGCAAGAATATATCTGCCATTTTTTAGCTAAATTAGAGATGTATTCTCTCCTTCACTTGTCAGCTGCAATATGCTGCCCAAAAAGAGCAGATTACTATGGCAGTCTTCATAAGTCTGCATTTTGATAACTGGCCACAGACAAAGGAGAACTGCTATGATTCAGTAAGTATTCTCTGTTTTCTTCAGGAAGGAAAATAATATTGCCTGTTTATGCAAAATATTAAAATACTCTGTGGCACTTTCCTTTGCTTGTATGCAACTAATACAGAGGAGATGCTGAAATCATTCCCCAGAAGGTGGACCACCTTCTGGGGCATGATTTCCCCAGAACATGATGGATGTTCTTTTGCAGTCAAGCATATTTTAGTTCAAATCACATGTATTTGGTTGATGCATGATGTTCTATCAGTCACTTTGCAACCAAACACAAACAGCCAAATATTGAGACATTTATTAACATATTCAACCATTCCTGTTGTAACTAGCACCTTTGTTCTGAGGAAGTTATTGCACTCCTGTTCAACATTGTAGTTAATAATGCGAGAAACTTCTTCTTGCCAAATTTTTAAACCATATATGTTGACATAATCCTGGATATATTCAAATGATCGGTGGAATCCATCCATTGTAGCTGCCATTTCTTTCAATTTGGGCATCAGTTCGCTTGGCTAAAGGGAAAAAAAGGAAAAGGAAAGGATGAAAATTGAACCCTGAATAGGCAGAATCCAAAGAAAATACATGAGGCTTCTAAATGTCTTTCCAAGATTTTACAATGCTGCAGACAGAACTGCAAAGGTTCTGTTTCGTATTTCAAGATTTTTTTTCCTCCTGATTTTTATTTTAGGCTTCTGTAGTACTACTGGTTGATCTGGGGAAGAGACTCAAGAAGCTGGACAGCAACAAAACAACAGTCATACACTTTAATCTATCTTTTCCATTCTATGTTTTTCATGTGCCTTGGATACATAATCTTTTGCCATCAGTCATCACAAAGATAGCACCATGAATTCAGAATTCACGTGGCAATTGGGAATAGAACAGAAATAGGTTTTTGGATTCCATTGCCCCTTGACAGTTTATGAACTCATTTTACCATGAAACAAGGCATTCCAAATAATCTCTAAGAAGTTCAAAAATATATTTTATCTGCAAAAATGAAACATGCACAAAAAAGTAAAAATTATTTTCTAACACATTATAATGAAAGAGATTGCAACAAAACTGAGACACTCAAAAAATAATAGAAAAAGTAGGTGCAACTCACCTTGGCTCTAGGATTAAAGATAAGTCCCCTGTGAAGAGCTAGAGCAACTCGTTTTACTAGCTCCTTCCTTATTCCATCCTCTAGCAACTGTTTTGGATCCACCTAAGAAACATTTTTTCTGAAAGTCAGAAAGCTATCAAAAATATAGAAACATTTCACTTGTACCAAGAAGAAATTCAACATGTAACAGTAAAGCAGTGCCATGACATGCACTTCTGTACCAGTAGTTGGCCAAAAGAAGTGTTTAAATACTTCTGATACACAACAGAGTTATTCTTTTAAGTTAGATGGCAAAGRTTTGAATTGTACTTCCCATTTTCGAAGTTTGTGAATGGTCTATTGAGTAGGTACTACAATCATACACTGCTTAGTGCACATTGGTTTTGTTTGTTTGCTCAAAAGTGAGCAAACACTGTGTTTCCTGAGCTTCCTTTTGAGACTCTGAAAGAGGCATCTTAATGTAGGGAAAGCAGCCTTTGCCTACGGAAGAAACAGCAGTCCAGGAAACCTTGCAAACATTTTCCCAATTTCCAAAATGCGTCAATGAAAACTGATAAACCTATGTAAAATGAGAACTGTGTGTTCTTGGCATCCAAATAAAAAATATATTATTTAAGGATGCTAAGTTTGGCATCCCAGTTTGAAAATTTGGAGGCCAATTTATTTCTAATTGTCTTTTTAATCTTCCCTCAAGGTCCTGCCTAATGTTGGAAATACCCATCCTAGAGTGCCAATTGCTACCAAGTGATTTTTCCCTAATGAAAAATAGGGAACATTACCTTGATGATACCAACTAAAGTAGTTTTCATCATGAGGATACCTTCAGTGAAGATTGAAATCGCGTGGGTTAGCTTGGCCACCTGTAATAGGAACAGAGGATACAAGTGATTGAAGTGATTCCTTAATACACAGATAATCACCCTAAAAACATAATAAATATTTTAACAGAGCTAGCTTCCTACTTTAGAATTAAGTAATTCACAGATAGAGCTTCAGTTTCTCATCTAATTCAAGTACTACTTGAAGTACTTGATATATACATATGTACATGTAATATATATATACACATGTGTATATATAATATATACAGTGTATATATATACACATGTATATATACATGTATATACATGTACATATGTATATACATATAGATACACAGGTTATGGGAGGAAAGACTCTGTTTTGTGTTTTATGAGTAGATATAAATGGCAATTAGTCCCTGTGCAGCCCAGGGGCCCAGCTTTACACAGCTGCTTCACAACAAAACTTGCTGCCAGCAATGGATCTGCTTGCCTGTTTCCATGGATTTAACACAGCAACATTCACTTAGTTTTAAATTATAAGGTGAGCATCCGTATGCTCAGAGTACAGCCAAACTAGCCAATCTTTTGCCTTTATGATATTCAGAAGATAGAGACAGTGCAGTTCAAACTTAAAATTTTACAGAAAATGTAAGTGAAAAGCCTTTGTGTGAGTACCTCTCTTCTCCCAAAAATACAGAACAAAAAAAAGCTTAATGAGAATCCACAACTCGATAACATAAATCTCAATAAATATCTCTGGCAAAAACCACTGAAAAAAGGCTGACCTGTAATAACTACCTGGAGATCTAAAGCATATATTCTTTGAATATATATCCGTCTTACTCATACTTTTGCTCACCAACTTCTAATAAAAAGAAGGTCAAATAATTTCAATGTTTTTTCATATTTCCAGATTGACAGCAACACAGAAATCCAAACAGCAATAGCAGCTTTTTGAGCTGATCAGATCAGCACTTCTCCAGCCCATGTTCACTTTTGACGGTCTGCAAGAGTTGTTGACTCATTTAGCCTGGGACCTTCTTCTTCTACTGGAACAAGCATTCCCAATGTGACGGCTTCTTTCCAGACTTCATTTTTTTCCACTCCTACTTAAACTAATTGAAAACATTTACCCTCATTTACAAATATACTTATGTTTTCTATTATACTTTTATTCCCTTTCCCCCCTGCACTACCAGTCAATTCTAACTGAAGTCAACAAACCCAGTTTTGTTGTTGATGTTCAAATTCTATGGAGCTGTATCTACTTAAACTTGGCTGATGTTGGCCATCTATAAGGTTTACTTTTTCAGAATTCCCTATTTCAACTGCACCTCATATCGTGGTCCAAGCTGAGCATAATCTCGTAGCTTGTCCTTATCAAGGCGAGTGGGCACTTCAATAATATCATGAGTCTGAAGCTTTATAATTTTGAGGAGAGAGGTAAACATGCTTTCTGGAATGATCTGCAGGACCTTGGCAGAAAAGAGATGAGACAAACAGTCAGTACATTCTTAGGTGAAAAAGAACCTTAAATTGAGGATAAGCAATTAAAGAACAACCTAAGTATGCCTCTTCAAATGCCTACCTTTCTTACATAGGAAACTAACTCGCCAGAATAGTACTGTGAGACGCTGAGAAGATCAGGGCTGTTGGCTTGATTGATACGGAGAAGTGGCAAATCAAGAGCAGAAGCAAGCTGGAAATAAAGTTAATAGTTTAAATTCACAGGTCTGTTATTCTAATAACTCTTATATGCCTGAACTCTCTTGTTCAGACCTCCAACTGCAATTCCTCCTAAAGGGAGGGTTTTTCCTAAAGGGAAATATTACAACAGCAGGTTGCTGACTGGGTAGATAAACAAACAGACAAAGTCTTTTTTTGTCAAAACGTCCCAAATTCAACCTGTAACACTACATTTTTCTTGGTCATAGTCTCTGAATTTATGAGCAGCATGAAAGACTTTTGTTGTAATTTCTGCTTTCAGGTTCCCCCATACGATATTTTCAATTATATTTCTAGAGAAAAAACGCATCTTCCCAMGTTATGACAGATGAAGTGCATATACAGCATTATTCTTGGAACTCCCACAGCCATCTGTGACATGGAAAATCCCATCTAAGCATCCATATCTCCAGCAAGTAACTATAATGGATAGAAGTTGGATGATGAGACTAACTCGACTAAAAGCAATGATACGACTGGTTGCATAAAGTAACATGCATAACTCAATTTTATTTTCTTTAAAACTATTTTATGAATTTGTTACACCTCTAAAGAAATGAAGATACAGAAAAACATCAGTGAGAAGATCTGAATCATACACAACTTTACAGACTTGAAGTCTATTTAACAATAGCCATAGTTGACTTGCAGTGTTAAAGTACATTGAATTTTGTTTTCATACTTACCTTCAGAAAGGTGGCTCTGAGTTTAGTTACCATAGATGGGTTGACTCTTATGCTTTCCTGCATTATAGAGGTAAAGCTGGAGAAGGAAATAAGACAGAAGTCAGCGTCTTTGCCAGAACTCTGATTTTCAGATACTAAAATGTCATTAGCACCAGAAATAACYCAAAAATGGCATAGAAGATGAGTGAAACTACACTAAGGAAGAATTTGGTCTGAAGAGATACAGGTCATGGAAAATCATAAGATAAAGGGGAAGCTGGCTGAAAGGAGAGTATATCATGCACAGTAACACCCACGTTAATGAAGTGGCAGCTTAGCAAATCCCACCCTGCACAGGAGTTTTAGTTCATTTTAGAGAATCTACAGGATCTCCAACATTTTACAGAACTTAAAATTAGGATCAGGCAGACAGTAAAATGTTAACAGTATCACACAGTCTGTAACTAACMATATGCCAAACATGGCTGTTAATTCTTATTCAAACTGTTAAGAGTTGAATAAACTCAGCAGCTCACAAAATAAGACTTTACGACCATTTCCAAACAGGAGAATTTCTAGCATTAATAATATTTATGCATTTTATTTCCTGAACTCAGAGGAAAAACCTCCTGGTAATATATACCTGTCGATTAATTGCCAAGCATAAGACAAATCACCAACTATCTGCATGGTGATCAAGACTTCTTCTTTAATGTTGATAGTTCGGATCATCTGATGAAGAAATTTGCGCGTGTCGGCCAAAAACTGACAAACTTGCAGGTTAGATTCCAGCTGGTGAAATTCCTGGACCTAGATTTACCAGAATAAATAGTGGGGAAAAAAAAAAAAGGTCCTTTTTGTCTGTTTTGTCTGCTCTTTGAAGAAGAGCAGAAGATAATCAGAAAGATGACATATGTATTTTTTTTTAATATAGTAAGGCACTGAAATATCCTGGCCTGTTTTAGAGATGCATTAAATAAGAAATTCACAAAATTACTGCAGAAGGAAAACCATACTGAGTTTTTATACCTTGGAAATTCGGGAAAAAACAAAACAAATGAGTATTTTTTACTTTTCTTGCCAAATTACAAATAAATTCTGGTTTCAAATGAATTCTCATTTCAGAATTTCTAGTAAAATGATGAAMAATGTTGCATAATTATGTTTAATACTGAATTTATTGCTTCCAAGAAATCCTAATAATTTAAAACTGCAAGTGACAGTCTTTTCATGCTATACTCTTARTTTTACAATGAAAAGATCTATAAGCAAGTCTTGGTGGCTTTATATACAACATTACAAAACTGGTCTGAATTTCTAATTTGTTTAGATTTGAACATCTTTGCTATTTATCTCTTTGCAGTCAGTATGTTCTATTTATCTCAACATTTCTTTGCCTTACCTCTTCCAGAGCCTGTATTAGCTGCACAGTTTTCCTCCCTGCTGCAGTGGAATCATCATAGTTCAGGGACATTATTTGCTTGGAGATTTCTCTGAACCAAGCCTGAAGATTTTCTATTTAAGAWAGATTTAATCAAATCCTTGCATACATAATAAGCAGCAAAAACATGAGGAAATTGTTGGTTAATAACAGCCAAAAATACTAATTGCTAAACATATATCAGATCATTTAAGGGGTCTTCAGCTTGTTTTTACATTTCAGCAAGTGGCATACACTTAAGCAAGAGTAACACACACCACCAAGAAAGCCCTTCTGAATTACCAAAGGCAACATGCAGCATGAAACCTATAAAAATAACAATAATACCCTTTAAAACATAACATTGTAAATTCATCGATCACAAATTTAATTGCCTTAGCAGTTTCAATTTTTATATTTTAGTTAAGTTTGCCTGTGAACTCTACATCAAACATGGAAAAGAGAACTGGCATTTCATAGCCTTACCTGGCACTTCTAAATTATGAGATAAGAAACACATTTAAAAAAATATATATAAAAAAAAATGTAGACAATTAAACATTAGGTACCTAAATATGTGTGCTTAGCTTACAAAATCTAACAAAAGAGCATGCATTACATCTATGCCATTTTCATMATTTTATCTATTTAATGTAAATATTTATATAATTTATGTTCATATTAATATTATTTTATCTATTCTTTTCATTATCAGCTTAGAAAAAATGCATAGAATTGGTTTACTTCAAAGGGGTTTAATTATTATTACCATTTTTCTCCACTCTGGTAAGAGGCTTAACTCCTGAGAAGACATCAGCAAGCTCAGTCATCCTTTCAGACCCTTCTTTTTTATAGTTTTCCCATTTTGTTTGTTTTTCTGACAGCATCTGCTTGAACATCTTTTGGAAAAAAAATTATGGTTCAGACTGGCAAGACAACATACTACAAAATATAAATGAAATAAAATACTCACCAGATTGAACTTATATGGAGCACTAAATACTTGGGAGATTTTGCCAGAATTTTAAGTACAAAATTGACAACATTGAAAAATATAGCTAGTGGGATGGACATGTCCTGACATAAATAACAGAATTTTATAATACAGTACAAGATATATAGCACTGATTTTTAGCCAGTTACAGAAATATCCAGTGGCATTTCAGCTCAGAGAGCCTAGAAGATGCTCTAACATTAACTTATACTTTGTGTAGTCATCTTAGCTTATGCAAAAGGAAATTCAGCTCAGCACGAGTACTTGTACTTGAAGTCAAACCTGCCCTTACACCTTTTAYCAGATCTGTCACATGGGAGTTTGTTTCATAACTCAGAATCAACAAAACCCAGAATTTCCCAATAAAGAACCCATTCTTTACATTAGTGGAGTGAGCAGTACATGTACTCCTGCTACTCAATTCTTCAGCCCTGCTCTGCAGTTCAGATGAGAACACTGAAGGCAGCAGGGGCACTTTACCTCTTTTAAAATGAATTCAAACTGAGCTGTGTCCAGTAGCAGCTGGAAGAGGATCTTGGGATTGTACCTTGAATCTGTCAGAATTTGATCCTTTATCTGGCGGAGACGTTTGTTATTTGGGTCACAAGCTGCAAGAGGAAGGACAAGATTTACCTGCTGTTACAGAATTTAGCTAAGCTGCTAACATTTATATGAATATTAACAACAGGCATGCATAATGGTTCAGATTGGGATTCTGGGAGACTCTTAGCAAAAGAAAGCCTCGAGAAGTTATGAAATCAGCTCCTGCTGGCTTCAACAGCAGCACAGCCTGGTCTTCTCTCAGCACCTACCACTGAGCTCCTGGACAGCAGGAGCTACTACTGCAACACCCTGGTGCCAAGTCCTACCTGTGTCTGCAGTGTGAAGCATGAGCCAGCGGATGGCTACGTTGCAGTCTCGCAGGCAGTTCAGCAGCTTGGGAATGTTGTCCAGCACCAGCTCTTCCCTTAGACAGCCCTCTTTGAGGAACTGCTGCACTTGAGCGTGCACACGCTCAGTGACTACGGCGTATCTGCTAGCCTGGGATAGGCAGTATTAGCATTAACACAGCCCTTTTCTCAAAAGGAAAACATCATCTACAACATGGGGCTTGCCAAGAACTTAAAGGGCACAGAGTCAAAATGTGCTTTAAAGAAAACAAACAGATATTCAGATATTCTTTGAAACTGGATGCTTCTTCTGGATTAGTGTTCAGACAGCCTAGAAGGCCTGAACTATCTGGCTGAGGGTTGCACTCCCTGAATGTTCAACTTCTAAAGCTGTGGAAGGGCAAACCCCACAGTGAGCTAACACAGCCCAGTACTGCAAAACATGGTGGTGACTCTCAGCAGCTACGCAACCAAGCCAGGAAGAAGCAGGACAAACCTTCCTGGGGAGGCCAGACTTTGAAACCAGGTTTTTTAACACGTATTCATATAAATAATATAAACAATAATCATATGCAAGGAAAAAGAGACTTCTATATTAATGACAACACAGAATATACTCCAAATAGTCTGAATCTGGCTGAAAACATTAAACTCCAGCTTACATACCTGCTCTTTCACATTTGAAAGATCCAGTGTGTAGTTGAGGGCAGTTTTGGCAGCTTTGTAGGGTTCCCATGCTTCTGCTAAATTTACAGCAATTCCCATGTAAATGCTAATAACCTAAGATTGGAGGCAAAAAGCAAAAAGAAAAAATTTGTGTTTATATTTGTATTATGCCAACCTACTTTTTTATAGTAGATTGTATTCTGATGGTATGAGTGCAGCTGATTTAAACATTTAAGAGGATAATTGGTATTGGCAAAGGATAGTTTTCCATGCTGATCCAGAAGCTTTGACTCAGTCTGCTTCACTCCAGACAAAGTATCATGCCCCCAGAGAAGAATCTATTCTACTTTTATAACATTCCAGCAAGCTTTGCAGAAAACAAGCTAAATCATTCCAATAATATTAAATCCAGGGTACAGTTTAAAAACAGAATTAACGTTTACCCAATTATCTGGAAAGTATTTATCCACTATCTCTCTCATTTTTGCTTGCTGAGTGTGAAGAATAGAAGGGTCAAAATAGAGTATGACATAGAGCATGGCAGCCTGAGTGGCCAGTGCAGTGCTGCGGTGTTCTGGTAAAGGATATGCAGAAACCTAGAAAGAGGAAAGGAAACAAAGCAAAATATAATGTTAACAAACCCTTAAATATTACAGGGCACATTAAAAAGGACACACATACAGTATTATGTATGCTATACATAATACTGTATATTAATTACACATTAAAAAGAAGAGTGCCTAGATACTAGGAGGCTGCCTGATTTGCCACAGAGGTAAGCTGGGCACGCTTACACATGCGACATGTTCACCAGGTATGTGAATATCAGGCTTAAATTATGTTCACATACCTGTGAATATCAGACATCATATTCACATATAGGTGAATACAGGACATGTAACTGACCTGGTTATAAATGTCGTCCGACCGGAGGCGGCCAATGACCATGCTGATGAATGTCTCACTTATGGGCACCCTGCTGAAGTAGCTCTCAGGGTAGTTGGGAGGCCTCTTAGCCCCAGGCTGGCTGGAGTAGCCGGTGCTCCGAAGCAACTTGCAAATATCATCTAAATTGGAATCAGCAGACGATCGGGCTGCACTGTTTTTTGAAAGGAACAAATACCAAGCTGTGTGATCAGACTACTTCATTCTTTCTTTTCCCTTCTAACCCACCTTTCGTTCCAAGAAAGTAAYGAGATACTAAAGCTGTGGAGGTTTTTTTATACGCTTACTCCAGGACTTTAACTTTCACCTTACTACAGAAGGATGCTGCTAAATGCCCATGCTGGATCCCAAGAAAGCATACAAAGCACAAGCAAGCAGACACAAGAAAACTTTACTTGGAGACAAGAAAGAAACTTTGCATTCAGAAGAGGTACATTTAGCTCTTTCCTACCTCCCCTTTTCCAAACTGCCCTTCCTGCTCTATCYCTGTATCCCAGAGATAAGTAATCTTTTCTCAGTACACACTGGAAAGCCAGCAGCATGGGTACAGAGTGCCACCTTTTTTGTTGCATTATGAGTGAAAAAGTTTGCACTGAAATTCTCAGAGACTCTCCCTACCATGGAAGTCTCGTTATCGAGTGCTAATCGAGCACTCTGAGAAGTCTCATTTGCAATACATTTTCTGTCTAGATGCTCAGGACTTTTCAGAGATTTGAACCAACAACTGGGAACATGTAATACTTTAGTTTCAGAGTTGAAACTTGGAGCATAGGTGAAAGTTCATTTGTCAATGGATTTCAAAGCTGTTATGATAGCATGAGAAATTCAGGGCCTCCCCTTTTACAGCCAGATCCGCAAAAACAACTAATTGAAGGATCTCTACTGACATTCAGACAGCTATGCAGAAATATCAGGGTCTATCTGTATGCATCAATCAGTCCAAAAAATGCCAGTATCTCCATTTATCTTAACTGAAAAACTGATTTAACTGAACATACCAATTGTTACATTCTTTCAGCTTTGAGCTTTCTGCATACCAATCCACATTACCTGTATCTGTAGTAGGAAACCAACATTCTTTCTCTGACCTCTCCTTCAATCTTCTGGTCAATGACCAACAACATGACTCCATATAGATAGAGTGCTTCACACTGTTAAGGAGAAACACAGAAACAAAAAACAAAAAGGAAAAATCAAAAAGAAATCAAATCAAATCTGACAAACTAACACCATGCAATCTACAGTGAAAATAGTGTGAAAATGGCAGGTTATAGTTTTTTGAGCTTTGACCACCTAATAGCAAGCCATTTCAATGAATCTGGTAACTTGAGACTAGATAAAAACAAAATAGATGTCAAAAATATATCTAGAATTAAATTAGTTGGTTCATTTTCTACAATTACAAAACCACTGAGTACTTACTAGAAGCTGTTTTCCATCTTCATTAAGGAGGACAGTTTCTAATGTTTGCTGAATGTAAATGCCTTCATTGAGGTCATCTAAATATCTAGGGATTACATCAAAGAGTTGGTCATCAACAATTTTCCTCTTAAACCATGTGTTCTCATAACTCAGCTGGCCAATTTTCACTCAGACAGACATGTCACAACACTCCTCCAGTGCAAGCAGCACAATGTTTTTGACACAACAAAAAACAGATGCTCCAATATGAAACGAGAGCCTGGAAATCAACCAGCTGGCAAATTCTCCTTTRTTTTTACTAATGCTGTAAGATAATGAAGTATACTCTGTAACTTAGAGCTAATATATCATTTTCTTAGCCTTAACACGGCAGGACACAGAAGAGAATAGAGATTTGGGACGGAAAAGTTTTTCTTGTCTTTAAAATTTAGTGAAACTATCATATTTCGAATTCATCTTCAACATCACCTACTAAAAATACCTTAAATTTATCTTAATGATAATTAACTTAATATATCTTAAGTTTGAAAGTAGAGCTATGAGAAAAATATTTCATCTTGATTAACTTAAATGTTTTCAGCTTATATATAAGGTTGGTATGCAACAGCAAGAGAAAAAAAATAGTGTCCAGTCCAGCAAGTCAGGTTTCACAGGGCGTTAGAATCTAAGACTCTACTGCAAGCATTGGGTTTCCAAGTGAAAAGTTTCTAATCATTAAGATTAAACAGTACTGTAGTCTTTAAGGAACTCTGTACATGGCTAAAAACTGTACCTGTTTAAATCTACAATGTATTTATGAACGCTCTGAAAAGCCAGATAAAATCTCGTCAAAATTTCAATGTTGTTTTCACGGAATTCTTCATCTAAATCCAGTAACTCAGGTTTGGCTTCCAGTTTGCCTTCACAAATCTCAGGCCCCTAAGAAAGAAAATTCATATTTAGAGACAATATTTGATTGTGTCCAAGGCAATCTTCATTAGGACACAGAACATATAAAACCACTAGTGTGTATCTAACAACAGAATTAATAATTATTACTAAAACGAGGCACCTGAAGTTTTTAACCTACATCATGGCTGAACATGGATCCCATAATCATGAATTTTACATTGTCACAACCTATAATGATTATAATATATTTCTGGATACGATAAGTGTAATGATTTTGCTTCCAGTCACCAATGAAAAGAATAGTTAGCACTTTAGGTAAAATCCTGGTGCCAGGATTTTACCATGTATCTTTTTTTCTTTTTCTTTTTTTCTTTTTTTTTTTTGGAAGAGGGAACAACTATCTCCTCTTTCTGGAACTTATTCCTTTACACATTTGATCTGGTTGATTCTCAAACAGAAATCATAGTATTGCGGCCTCCCAAAGAGAGTTTTGTACCTTCTCATACCTTGAAACTCTTTCCAAAATTAAACCTGAGACATCTGACAAATTCTAGACCTACCACAGTGCCAGTCCCCCAAATTGATGCAGAAACCATATCATTAACAGCTATATAGAAAAAAAAAGAGGAAGAGCCAGACTTTCTGAAAGCAGTGGTTCTAACTTTTAACCATTTGCTGCTATCTCCTCACCACCTTTCAGGCCTATCCCCAAAAGTTAGCTGAAAATACGACACTCAAACATCACTTCCCTGACATGTGATCCTTTAAAAGGTTTTGTTAATGTGTACTCCATAAAAAAAAAAAAAAAAAATCACTGAAAATACACAAATAGATTGGTAACAAAAATCTACATCTAAAGACAACCGAGAAATCACCTGTGCTCAGAATTTTCCGTGCCTCAAGTATTGAACATCCAAAATGCCACAAAAAAATCCACAAAAACAAAACTAATCCACATTGCACTAACAGTAATGCCTTCTTTGCTGCACAAGCTAGAGGGAGGAATCAAAATACATAGGCTGTGTAGTTCCTTGCAAATCATGCCGAAGCGATAGAAGGGGGAAAAAAAGGGTACTGCAAGAATCTTAGTTCTGTGAGAAAAATGAAAGCTTTCACAGACACTGCTCTGATTTATTGGTTGATTCAGCACACACGGACACGTGCAGGGAACGAACAACCACTCTACTGTCAAACAGGAAAGCAGAAATCAGTGTTTACGGCTGCAAAGAAAAAGCTACAGATAACCAAAGGAAGACAGGCGTGCTGAGCTCAGGAAAAACAACCAAGCACGCAGGATCCGAGCCTAAGGTGAAAAATMTACAGTTTCTTTAGAAAATCTAGTTTCTTTAGAAAATCAAAATAATCAATAATACCCAAATCTAATACTCGAGTGGCATATAATCACTCTTCATTGAAACGCAAGGCCAGATGACTCATCAGATGTTATTAGAGTTGTAGCGGGGCCTGTTTTCTATGTCTGCATTTAAAASCACCTCACTATCTGCTCTAAAAATGTGGGTAGTGGCTGAACTTCYAGGGAGCTAAGGACATAATCTTCACTGGTGTGTTCCTAAAATAAATCAGACAAGGCCAAGTATGTAAGTGTATATAAATACAAAACAGCCAAAGGGCGGTGTTAGTGCACAAACATAACCCAAAAAGCATCTTGGTTTGGTGAATTTTGGTAAATACTAAGCAAGCAGAGTATTTTAGTCAATTCTGATGAATATTAGCACTGATCCCTCATTTCTCAGGGCATAAACTGAAACATCGGTATGCTCTATCAGTGCAACAAGGGAAGCATCACAACAGATGAAWAGGATTTACCTTAAAATAACTGAAATCAAATATGATGTCCCCATACTTCTGTTGATCAGCCTTGTCCTTTAGCCTGAAAACACCGGGGATAAATTCGGAAAGTCTTAAAAGTTCTGCAATGATGGCATTTCCACAGGAGACGATCCTAAGAATGGCCTGGCCACACAGATTATTTTCAGCTAGAAAATCAACCATTGTGGAGCCAACGGGACCGAGCAGCAACAGCCCTGCAGCCTCTTCTCGGGGCGAGTCCTTAGGTCGTGTGAAGAAGAAAGTCTAGTAAGAAGAGCGGCCGGTCCATTAACAGCACCTGTAAAAACAGAAATATCCGTATTCTGAGTGTTTCATTGTTATACTTTTGATCATTTATTCTGTAGGGATTTAAGCACAGCTAAATCTTACATTTTTTTGAAATCTAAATGCTCCACGTTTTGTTCAAATGGATCAACAAACTGAATTTATATTCACCACGCAGTGTTGGCTCGGTCACCTGCGTGACCAGGCATGGAATAACAGCCTGACTCGTTAAGCCACAACATTTTGGGGTAACTATTAGAGAATGARACAAAACATTGAACCCATGCAGGCTACACAGCAGATATCAGCAAGGAAAGCACAAACTAAGACCTTAGGAGATGTGTTTATAACATTACAGTCATGTAAAAAAAAAAAAAAAAAACAACTAAGAACACTACAAGGAACAAGGGAAACCTGTGTTGGAACAAGGGAAAATCTCACATATTGGGAAAATGGAAACAACACTGCTCCTTCCCTTTATTTACTGCTGAAAAGAGCACTTTCGCACTGTGCTTGCATTTCCCGGCCCCAGCTGAATTTAAGGGCCTTTCTTTTCCCCCCTGAAAGATGTGGAAAGAACAAAGCGGAACACAAAGCGCTTTTTAAGCTCTGGGGCATTTAGGGCAGGTCAGGAGCTGGGTTCAGCCAAGGGGTCCCCCTCCCTGCGGGAGCCGAGCCCTGTCCCCCACCGTGCGCGGCCGGCCCGGGCCGCGGCGCTTACGGGGCTCGCGGCGGCGGCTCCGCGNGAGCGCGGCGCGGCTGCGGAGGGGCCGCTGGCGGCGGCGGCAGCGGCAGGGAAGGAAGGAGGGAAGCGGGAAGGAGGCGGCGCCATCACATGACGGCGCGCGGAGGCGCGGGCTGATGAGGCGATTCCGCCGYCAGTCCTAGCCGCCTCCGCCGGCCCCGCGCGCCCGGAGAGGAGCCCCCTGAGGCGGCGGGGACGAGGTGAGCGGAGGGGCCGCCTCGAGGGGACAGGGACAGGGACAGGGCCGGCGGGGAGCAGGGACGGGGCCGCCGAGCGGCGCTGCGGGCGGGGGCCGGCGGTGCGCGCCGAGGCGGCAGAACTGAAACCTGCACCTTTCGGGGCTTCTGCGTTGCCGTTTTTCCTGAATATTGTTGAAAGAGAGAGAAATAATAATAATAAAAAAACCCTTAGCTAGGCCCACTTGGGTCTCCCGCTGAAATGGTGCGTTTGCTGCTTGTGTCTCCCTGAGGATGAGGGGTAGGGGGGTCGCAAATCCAAGCGCTTGRTTCATCTCCCAGTTAAGGCCTTCCTGGCAATATGAAGTCCCATAAAGACACGGATCCAAGCCCCGCTCTGCAGAGGAACCAGTTCTCTCCTCTGGAGCAACACGGACAGCTCTGCGCTGGAAGTTGAGCTTGAAGAGTTAAYGTAAAAGCTTAAGAGATGCCCTCTGTGCATGGGGGCATCAAACTCTTTATACAGATTCAAAATTTTATGAAGAGCATCTCTCCATGGGTGCCTAAATTACTTGCCAAAACACAAAATGCAATGTTACTACCGATGGGAGAGAATGATTTAGTGTTGTGGACAACAACCTCAATTCCTGTACAACTATGGGGGTCTCCCCACAGTTTTCAGAAGAATGAAGGAACTTTTTTAACTTTTCGCTGTTACTGTTTCTTCAGGTTCCTTTCTTTCATTGTGTAAGTGTGAAATTTCCAGAAGAGCAGCAGACTTGCTCAGTGAATGAGATTTACCCAGTTCAAGAAGTGAATTAGGTTCTCCCTGTTAGTGTTGATACACTAAAGATAAAACTGCTAATGTGTTTTTGATGTGATGAAGAGTGTAAAAAGTTTGGATTGCAGAGGTTCAGTACAAACACTCCCAGCAWGAAGGAATATGCTTTAAAAAATAGGCAAAGAAATTAGTGTAATGGCTTAAAGCATTGGTTATTAACTAAAGTTTTAAGAGCATCCTTCTCTGTTACTTTTATGGAGTTCTTTAAGAAGCTTTTCCCTTGTCTTTCCTTCCTGTCAGTTTGATGGATTTTTAAGTGGCCCTGCAGGTAGGAGCTGCTGCCTTTTGGAGGGGACAGCAGAAGTCAACGTGAATCACAGCCTCCGGTATGATGAAATGCAGCTTTACAAGGGGACAGAGGGGGAAGCTGCTCACAAGTTGTCATGAACTTAAGAGCTGAGTTTTTTATAAGGCTCTTGCAAACTCAGGAAGCTGCTCATAAGTTCCAGTTGTCATGGGCTTGAACAGCTGAGTTATTAAAAGGCTGTTGTAAACTCARGTCAGAGGACTCCAGATAGTCTTGAGTGGCCACTTTTTTTTTCTTTATTTAAAGAAAGAAATAAAAAATAGCAAAGAAAAGAAACAGTAAGAGAGAAGGAAGATGACAGCAGGAGTTCCAGCCTCAGAATCTATGTGACATCCATGTGGAAGATGGCGATGCTGTTGAGATTAGGATGAGTGCAAGTAATAGTTCTGGAATCTGAGGGAAAGCAGTAGGTGGGAGACAGAGCCTTGGGTGTAAAGCCTTGTCCTTTCTACTTAGATATTGTGGTAATTTCTGTTGGACTGTAGCCTGTGAAAGGCAGTAATCCAGAGTCTCGCATCCCCTTGTTATTCTGTGTACAAGTTACATCTAAGTTCAGGTGTACCCTAGTTGGATTTCCTTTCCTCCCTCCCCAATATAATGTCAGTTTAGTCCCTGATAACACCAGTTATTGTTTACATGGACTAATGTTTTTTTTTTTTTATCTATTTGAAACATGCGGTTTTATAGTGAATTGTTTGCCTAAAGCTGACCAGAATTTTTCTTCCTTCCTGCAACTTGCATCATAAAACTCACCACACCGGATCCATGTTTCCTTTACCTGTTGACCAGGCCAATTATGGCARARAAMAAAAAAAAAAAAAAAAAAAAAAGAAGAGCAGAAGTTGAAAATTTTGAGATGAGGCCACCCACTGGTGTGGACAGGATGCACGATTCAAGTCATAGGGACAACATAAGCAATGTCAACACTTGAAGGCCATCTTAGTGACAGAGGAAAAGGAGCTAATTCCAGCAGGGCTGTAGCTGTGGTCTGTAGTGGAAAGGGAAAAGGTGGTGAAGAGCACAGAAATGAATCTTATGTGATTCAGTGCTCTGTGACAGTGGAACATTGCTACTAAAAACTACATCAGTGGCTTCTTTGGTTGAAATTGAGACCATGTGTAAGGTAGGCTTTTACTTAAGAAATGGTATTAGATGATTTGCTGCTAAGTATGTTCTTAGAAAAGCTACCCTTTATTTGATATTTTCAGACAGCCAGCTTTTTGTTGGAGCAGGTTGGTAGTTTGATGGAGCTGAATGTGATGSGAGAAGCCGTATTTCCTACTACCCTAACTGCCAATATTCCTAGAAAAGAGATGAGTTTTGGGGCCTACCAGCTTTCTTGGGTTTGAAACAGAGCAGCAACTTTCCAGCTAACATTATCCTCAAGTATTTCCATCTCACTGTGGCATAGCAAGAGGAATAAGAAGATGAAAATTGCAAGCTGCTTTTTGTGGTGTAGTTTTCCCTAGCGTTGAATAGGAAGGGGGTAGAAGTCTTTTGGTGAACCGTGTTTCTACTGGTRCCACTGACTAAACTTTCTGTGACATTTTGGGAGCTGGGATTTCGTGCCCATTTTCAGATGTCTGAGCGGCCTTGTTATGGCTCTATAGTTTGCTATCTGTCCTGTTTTCTCTTCCACATGGTTGTGTATTAACTGCCTTCAAACTGTTATATCTGTTGTTTCCAGACTAGTGGTTTCAAGATGCCGGGGGCGGCGACCATCTCGTTCAGCTGTGTGGATTCTTCTCTTTCATCACTGAGAAACTGCCAGTCTTACATTGACACTGGAATGGACATTGCTACTCGTGTTGCCCTTGACCTTGTGGAGAGTTTCAGTAAGTAATTCCTTTGAGTACATTATCTTGCTTATACTTCCTCTTGAGCCTCACATGTAACTTGTAGGCCTGCATGWTCTCACTTAGCTAACAGTCACTATCTGTCTTCCTTATAGAAACAGCTGCTCTTCTGGCCAGTTTAGGTTGTTACCATTCCAATCACCTCATTGTCCTAAATGATAAATTCCTAGCTTTATAATACAAAAGACTAATTGCATTTCAGTGTTGGTTATCTTACAGCCTTGTAGAAATTTCAACAGTGCTGAAAGAGATGGAGAAAGCCTCTGGAAAGGGTGAATAAAGTGCTTTTCATTCTAATAATGCTTCTTGTGTGTGTTTAATGTTTAGGGCAAGTTACATGAAAATAATACTGATTTTGCATACAGAACTGGAGACATGTATAAGATATGCCGTTTTTCTAAATATTGTCTCTTCCTGCTAAAATTAGACTGATTTAGGGTGCTTCTATTTGGACACTTGCAAAGAGAAATACCCATAATCTGTGATCACATCTGGCAGTCTTATCTTACTTGTTGCTGTTTTACARCAACAGGTGCCTTGCAAAATTGCCTTTCAAAGACAAGTATTTAGCCTGCTGTCACTACAGCTCCTTGGATCTACTATAAAGCTTTCATAAGGAAAATTGAAAACTCCATGCTCCAAAACCCTAAACAAAATTTTTAATTATGAGTGGAGAGTGAGAGTCCTCTAAAACAAAATAATTACTGTCTTGTAYTCAACTAAGCCAAAGTTTATGTTAAATCAAGATGAACAATTTTTGGTTTGTAGATTCAGTGTCCTCTGCCCTTTATATGTATGTAAATGTAAGAAAAAATTTGAGGCCCCTCGTCTATAGCGGTAGAGGAAAACTCACCTAAATATTTACCTTGGAATTCCTTTTGCAGTAAAACTGGTATAACCAGTTCTCTTCCCTCTCTGCATTTGAAGCTACCATCTCTGCTAATTCGCCATAAGAGATGCATGGATATTTGCCTGTGATAAATTCTGGTGGTCCCAAGACCTCAATGATCCACAGAAGGCAACAAAAGCGAAGGGTTTGCGGTAATTTCATCCTTCAGCGAAAGTCAAATCAAGCTCTTATTGCAGGCATATACGGAAAGGTGGAAGGAAACTTAAACTCCACTAAGCTGTTTGCAGATGAAGATGTGTGCTGTGTACTCCTAGATAATTTTATCTTCCTCAGTTACATAACTTCTGTCATGCTAGTTTTAAATACAACCTCCAGTTTACTGTGACCATTTCATTTGGTAATCAAAATGAGTGCCYTCGTGGCCAAGGAGGCCAGTGGGATCCTGGCTGCATCAGGAGGATGTTGCCAGCAGGTGGATGGAGGGGATCCTGTGCCTCTCCTCAGCTCTGGTGGGGCCGCACCTGGAGCATTAGGGGCAGTTCTGGGCTCCCCTGGRCAAGAGGGACGTGAAGCTTCTAGAGAGGGTCCAGTGGGGAGCGACAGAGATGGTTAAGGGAGTGGAACATCTGTCATACGAGGAGAGACTGAGTGAGTTGGGCCTGTTCAGCCTGGAGAAGAGAAGGCTGAGAGGGGATCTGATCAATATGTACAAATACCCGAGGGGAGGAAGTGGCCAAACCCTTCTCAGTGGTGGCCAGTGACAGGACAAGGGGCAATGGGTATAAGTTGTAACACAGGCAGTTCCATCTCCATGTGAGGGAGGAAGAACTTCTTCTCTGTGAGGGTGCCAGAGCCCTGGCACAGGCTGCCCAGGGAGGCTGTGGAGTCTCCTTCTCTGGAGATCTTCCAAATGCACCTGGATGCCGCCCTGTGCCCYGTGCTCTGGGTGTCCCTGCTGGAGCAGGGGGTTGGACTCGATGATTTCTAGAGGTCCCTTCCAACCTCAACCACCCTGTGGTTCTATGAAAAGGGCGATATTTTGTGCTCTAGCCAGTTTTGAGATCACCTGAATTTTTTATGCTCAGTGTTAACGACTAGGTTATTTCATAGACTTGATTTGGTTTTAGCATGGGCATATTCCTTGTGCAGTTGTGGCTGTAGAACGATGAAGCACCACATTTTTTTTATGTAGTATCCATACATAGTATCTCTGGAAAAGGTATTCCAGAGTGTTATTTGTTCGTTAAAGGCCATATATCTGTTTCCTCTGGTATTACGGTGTAATGCTGTATTAAGAGCAGTTCTCTTTGATACCACCTCTATTCTTTTCCTTGTTGATGTATGTGGAACAGTTCTATGACCTTTTTTTTCCCCTATTATCTTGCATTTTAAGTTTTTTTTCCCCTCTGCTTAAAGGTTGTCATGTATTTGACTTGGAATTCAGGTGGTTTTGTTCCATATTAGCATCATCAGGAAAGATACAGGATTTCTGTGACAAGACCTGCTTTTGGTAAATATGTACTGTATTTTTTGTAGTGTTTTAGAGTCAGGTTCATCTGATCTGCCCGACTTGACTGGTTAGCTCTCACTTCCAACTCATATGTGACAATTTCTGTATCTGTACAATTCATTTCTAAAGGATGTGAAAAAAGAACAGGTTGGAGTTTCAGCAGCTTTGAATGTGCATAAGCTATAAAGCAAATTCATGATTGTTCAGCTGGAGTGAAAATATGAGCTCACTAGGGGGCAGGTGAAGGCAGGAAAAAAGCAGTGTTTCCATGGAGTTACCGACCACGCTGGGAAGAGACTGGCTGGTTTGTGTGGTGCTGATGTGCCTGTGAATAGCACTGATCCTCCCTGGCTAAATCACCCACAGTGCAAAGAGGTCACTCGTCATGGAAGCTGCAAAAACTGGAATGAGTGTGAATTTAGGCTATTTCAACAGATGGTGGCAGTATTACATGGAAGGAAAAGGGAGCAAAGTGCTGGTTGGTTCGGGATAGCAGAGGGTGCTGAGAGGAAGAGGTGCCAGACTGGTGGGCACAAGTTCCCTCAGGGTATTCAGTGACTTCTCTTGCTAGTTCTTCATCCTTGCCCTTCTTCAGGCCATCTCAGGTGCTTTGCAAACAGTGGTTAAGCATCTCAGCTACCTGTGAGGTAAATAATGACGACTTTTTCCACCCTTGAAATAAAGCAGTCTCTTGGGTAAATAATGACTGCTATTTAAAAACATATTGCAACTGTGTAATAATGCAAAAGAGATAGAAAGAAATATTTTTCCTCTGAGTGAAGCAATACAGACTAACTAGAGAGGACAGGACTCTTCTTTGAGTTAGACATCAGGGACATCTGATTATCATGAATAAATAGTACAATAGATCTTTCACACCTTTATTCTCAGACAGTGCTTGAAAGTTTCAGAACTGAGTCAAACTTCGGCTTTTTGTTTAAAAAGTGATTTCACATGCAGAGTTTCTCCTCCTCCTGAGCATTAGCTGCTCAGATCTGATTAACTTGTTTTTCCTTTTGATTATCTGTTCTGAAAAGATAAAATATCTACTGGGAGGAGCATATACAAGTATAATAGAAATGAAGGGGGAGGAAGAGCTAGATTAATCAATTAAACATGATAGCTCTGCAGTAAATACTGGACAGAGAAATCAAAAAAAGTGAAGGAATCGGTTTCACTGGCATAAACTGCTGTTCAAATGACTTTGAAGGCTTAAAGATCTGATCTCCCTGTTATTTTGAAATGTAGGACAGAACCTAGTTTAATTCTCTGTGACCTTGCTTCCCCATTTCACGTGAATGGAAAGGTTGAAGTCCTGATATTTCTAAGTGGATTCATATTCATCTCTACTTATGCACATCGTTTTCTTCACTTGTATTTGCAGTCTGGAGTAGTAAACTTAGAATGATTTCTGCCCATTTAAGCCGTTATTAAATGTTGTGAGAGGTTTTGGGATTCCTAGTGAGAGGTAATAGGAAAGTACAGGTGTTTTTATTAAGGAACTGTAAAGAATAACAAGTCCACTTGAACTTTGCTCTAATCCTGTGAAGATTTTTGCACAGAATTCACTAGTGCTAAGTATTCAGGTCAGGCATTGCCTGTTTGTGAACATTATAATCTCCAACAAAATGAGGCAATGGTGCTGTACAGGATTCCTSTTACCTGCTGTTAATTTGGGTGAACCTGATCCTGAAACCCTTTTGTTTTTCAGTTAGCTTTGCTTGTTTATGTCTGTGAATGATTAAGAATTGCCAGTCCACTGAGAATTTGCGGCCTTTTGCACCAAACATATTTGTGGTGTTGGTAGATAGACAAAGTTGAAAAATACACTCTAAGAAGTTGTTAAGACCTTGTAAGAAGGAAAACAGACCGTATGTAATTAGTTTTGGTATATCATCACATCTGTGCTCAAACTTCACATGCATGTTCTATGTCCCAGTCCAACCAAACACTGTGGAAAGCATCAAGTTAAATTCTTACATGATCCTCCAACTCTTGGAGTGATCTGTGTTTTAAAGCTTAACCACGTGCTCTTATCCTTTGCTGGATTAGAGACCCAAGAGGTACAAGAATTTGAAGGTGACATAGTTAGATATCAATTATAAATGCACTTAAAATCATCTTTTTCATGTCAAGCTTTTCACTTTTTAAGAGTATATATATCTCACAAATGGCTGTAAATTCTTTTTTCTGTCTCAAAATTTGGCTTTGAATAAGCAATAAGACTGAGCTTTTGCTTTTGTTAACTATTAGGCGAGGCTAAATTCTACTGTAACTTGTGTCGTAATAAATTTAGTCTCAATCTGTTCKTTGAGCTTTAGTAGTCTGCCGTAGCAGTGACCCATTTCCTGCTCTGCCCTAAGGAATTGGATGTGAATTCCCTAATTTTATCATTTTTTATCAGTTTTATCCAACTCCTACAGTAGAAGYAGGAGAACTGTATCAAGGACTTGACATTGTGTAGTACGAACAAGTGTAGACATCAGCAGAAAGAAGACTCACTTGTGGTCATCTCACTGCTTCCAGCCCAGCACTTGGCCCTTTCARGGGAGTTTCTGGTCTCCCCACTGGAGCCACAGCTGTATTATAACTGGGAAAAGGTCTGGTGCAAATGCTAAA